AAAACACTCACGGTCTGCTTCCTCCTGGCTAATGTGCCAAATTGATCTATTGCATGATTGAGGCATGCTGTTTCACTTTTTTGTGTGTGAATCCGTGAAAAGGGAGGTAAGGTTTGGGGGTACGGAGCATGCCCCTGAGCCCAAGGTGAGACCACTTTCATTTTTTTACTTTACTCTTCCAATTTGCATCATATACATGGACACAAATACAGAGAACAATTTTTTAAAGTAAAGAACATTTATTATTATAATCTGGTATATACATGAAAAATGTCTTTTGGTTGCATTATGTTTTGAACAAGAGGCATTTAAACAATTTTGGGGGGGGGGGTAAAGAAGTGAACTATGCACATTTTTTGCAGTTGTACTCTTTCTTGTCATCAGGCAGGTAGTCTTGATTGGTTCCTTCTGTAATGCAGGGCAAATGTGCCCACCTCTTGCAAGAATCACACTGGACCTTTGATAAGTAACAATTAAGAAATGAAATCACAGAAGTTATAATGTTACACATACTTTTCATTCACTCATGCTATTCCTTCCACATGTCAGCATTACCTAACGTATGTATGCCTATCAGCATGAAGAAAATGTTTACTGAAGTGGATTTTTTTTACAAGAATCATGATCCTTAGGCAGTTTATGGCATTTATTTCTCATATAATTCTATGTTTCTTACCATCGTGCAATCCTCACTTTCCTTTTCACAGTTGACGAGGTTGCAGTATATGCAGTAGTCTTCCACGTTTTCTTAAAAATATATATATCGTTATGAAATGATGAATACTTTATGACCAAACTGAAAATGCAAATCTTCATTTATTAATTAATGTCAATATTTTAATCCAGTCCATGGTTTGAACGTATCTTTTCCTTTTTTGTGACTCATATTTTCTCAAATTTTTAGTTTACTGCCCCTGTATCTAAAAATGCCAATTTCATTTAGCTGGCCGATCAATAGCAATCATCATTCACCTGATTCAAATTTTTGTGTACTTAAGGATATTATTAGTTCATAGTCACCATTACAGAACCAAACCTGTGAGATATCCCACTTTAGGGGTATTAAGATAACTGTCTGCTTTGTGACATAATTCCACTCTTCATGTTATCTTCACATGTGCCTAATGAGATAACAGTACATGGTAGAAAGTAATTACCTGACTCCTTCATTAGAAGAATTGCTATATGTCTTCTAAACGCAATTTTAGCCTCTTGTGTTGTTTCTACCATACTGATGTCTTTGTGCTCCAAATACGCTTCTGCAAACTAACAACACTGATATTTAGAATAAACATCATAATTACCAGAGGTGAAAGTGGGTCGGTTCAGCATACCAGTAAGACCCAGCCACTTGTACCGGCCCTTACACGGCTGACGTTACACTTCCGCTGTGGTAGTGCTTTATGCTTTAATGTCGCTGCCCCCTTTAGCCCCCCCCTGCCCCCGCCTTTTTTTTCCCCCTCTGATCCCTAAATGGCCCCCTTAAGGATTGGGCTCACAACCCTGGGTTTAGCAGACCAATGCTCAAACCACTGAGCTATCCCTCCCCCCATGGGAACCCATGGAAACATTCTACTTACTTTCCATTATGTGTGTTGTTGAGTTAAGTTTTTAGTTGGTGCAAGTTTTTGGGAGAAAATAGTTTTCTGAAACTCTGAAGAATCTGAAATAGAGAAACACCTATATATAAGGGGACTCTTGCTCCCTTACTAACATTCAGTGGGGGTGTTTTGGTTGGCTAGCTCCCAGCACTGAAAGGGGAATGGTTGATGGGAAATCAGGAGCCTGAGACTGACAGTCCCCAGGAACAATGAGAGGCCAATGCTCCAGGTCAGCCTGATTGACATGACAGGAGGCCAGGGGGGTCCTGTCCTCCCGGTGAGCTGGAATGGCCTGGGTCAGACTGAGTGGGGCCGAGCTAAGGAGAAAGGAGGGGCCCAAGCTGAGCTGGAGAGCAGAACCGGGCCAGATCCAGAGGGGCCAGATCCACAGCCACTGAGCCAGGGACGCAGCCCAGGGAGAGCAGATCCTGTGCTGGGAGCAGAGCCTCAGCCACAGAGCCAGGTGTGGTGAGCAAGTGGGGCCAGCCAAGGGGGGACCTTGGTCAAAGTGCCCAGCACAGAAAGACACCCCCAGCCAAGGGCCCTTGCAGGCCAGACCGGGAGGGGGACCTTAACCTGACGGGGGCAACGCTGGGAAGAAGGGTCCCACCACTCGAAGCACGGAGGTGTGTGGCCACCACCATTGCAAGTGTCCAACCCGCAGCATCCCTGCAGCACAGCCAAGACCTGAGAAGGAAATCTGGGACCTGCAAGGAACAGACTGCGAAGTGCCCTGATGTCCAGAGACACTGTTTGTGATGTTCCCTGCCACAGAGCTGTGTGATGTGTTTTCCTTTAACCTTTCCCATTTTTCCTTCTTCTTTTCTTTAGATTAATTGTTAATTAAACAACTTGTATTTGCTTTAAATTGTATGGAATAATCAGTGGGTCAGGGAGGTGCCCAGTGCAGAGAGACTACCCCGGAGTGGGGACACCCTAGCCCCTGTCCTAGGTGACCACAGCAGGGTTGGTGGTCAAGCCCCCCAGGAATCCTGGGCCCAGCCTTGTCGGGGTTTACGAGGACTGTGCCAGACAGGAGAGTGGAAGGGGAGTCCTCAAGGGCAGGGAGGCCTCTGGGTAAAGGAAGTGGGAGCGAGGACTCAGATCCTTTCGCTAGCCCACTTCACCGGGGTAGTGCAGAAGCCAGGAAAGTTCCCCACAATAGCGGGACCATTCCCCCGCTTACATATAACATACACATATCAGTATCACCTCATTCTCAGCTATGCCTTTAATCAATCATTTTACTGTAATTTAACTAATGAATCCTAAAATAATGTTAGTCCATTATCTAACAAATTAGATCCCACCACCTGAATTGTTTTTCACCGGCAAAATTACTTATACATCAGCCAAAGAAAATCAAAAAACCAGACACAGACCACACAGATAAACAATAGAGAAATGGGGAGCAATAAATACATAAATCACCATGATTAAAGGCATGCAAACCATTTAAGAAATGACTATACAGTTATTTTAAAGATTCTTGATTAAACATGCAGTTAGCCAGGAAGACCATTAGTATTTGTGTACTTTTACCAGATTTGACCATTACTTGGGGTATGCTCAGTTATTGGGGCTACTTGTTTGGGTTTTTTCCCCCTGATAATTCTAATAATGTACTGCTTGTGTATAAAGCTGTTGTAAAGCACCCCTCTTTCACTACTAACAGTATTGCTGTAAAACCTTTATTTTTAAGGCACAACTCTTAACTCCTTTGTGCACAGTGCTACAGGTATTCTAAGCAAGATTCTTAGTAGAAGGTTAACAAATATTCTGTGAGAGAGAGATAGACCTTGCTAAAGGAGCTTGGTCTGAAAAAGAAAGCTTGCTCAGGTCTGTGCCTCAGTTTCCCTACTCCACAGCAACTAATCAACAATTAACATGTGATTATGGTCACATGCTGCCTGCATTTGTTCAACAATTTGTGACCAGCTTTGCACAATACTTTGGAGTACTCTCATTTATTAGGGTTACTCTTCTGGAGGGGGGGTGGTTGTGTAATTCTATCAATGTACTGCTATTGTGCCCAATTGAATGAGTCAAACAGCACTTTCAAGCTGACACCCTTATTTGTCCCAGATTTAGCATGTCCCTATCCCCACTCTTACATCACAATTGTACTGGTAGTAACCCACTTGATGCGCAAACCCCAGAGTATTTTTGGGCGCTACAGGGTTCTGTAGCTTAGGAAAAAGAAGCATTGCTGCAGAATAAATGTGGAAGATACAAACAGAAGAGTAAGTTATTTATGGACTAATAGTGATAACTACTCAAAGGAGAGCCTAAACAAAAATAAGTGACATTATTAAAGGTTAATACCTGAGGTAGAAAAGGAAACAGAGAGGGAAATTGAGGGATCTCACCCACTCCAGGAAGCTTGAACCCGTGAGGCTTCCCAGCTGATGATCGTAGCTCAGAGTCTTGGAGTAGATGAAACCCCAGTGGAACTCAGGCAGAATTTGGGTCTATGCATGCTGTCACGGACTCACAGATCGTGCCCACTCTTGGCCCCGTGCGGTCTGTGTGGGGTGCCCCTTTCAGTGAGACAGCCCTTCTCGGGGGTCCACTCTCTCTCGGGGTCAGGCCCCTCTACCTCCTGGAGCTGCACCTCCCTCAGCCCAGCACACCCCAGTCTCTCTGCATCCAGGTGGGCTCTGCTTGCTCCCCCTCTCCAGCCCAGAGCCCCCCTGCTCCCAGCTGTCCCCGCCTCTGTCCATTGTCTTCACTCCAGGTAAAGAGGGTCGTAAACCAGGGCCTCCTCTCCTGCTTCTGTGCTCTGGCTGGAACCGGCTGGTTAGGTCACTGGGTCCTCACTCTGCAGCCCATTGTCCTCCCACTGGCCAGAACTGGCTGGTTAGGTCACTGGGTCCTCACTCTGCAGCCCATTGTCCTCCCACTGGCCAGAACCGGCTGCGTCTCCTCAGCTGGGCCTCTGGGTCACCAGGTCGCCGGGGTATCCATTCTCCAGGCCATCGGCTGGGTCCCCAAGTCCTCTCTCCGGTCCTCTGCAAAACACACTCCCTCTCCCCTCACCTTGTTAAACCAGTAACACCCAGGGAAACTGAGTCCCACCCCCTTCACATGCAAACCATTGAAACTCCACAGAAAACAAGAAACCCCCCACTTCGTCACACATGCATCAGAAATGTTACTGGAGAGTCAGTATATGGTTTTGTAGAGAAAATTGCTTGAAGGGAGGAGACTAGATTTGTTTATGGGTAAACTAATGACTCAAGGAATTTCTTTAGGATAGACAATAGGAGCTGGTCACTCTTACCTATGGCTGGTGTTACTTCAGGGTGCTGACAATGAAATTCGTCCGCTTCAGTATTTTGGATATCAATGCAAGTTTCACTACTAGAATTGGTCTAACTGATGAGCTGGGTGTGGATGAGGGTAAGGGAGTTGCCAGAAACTTGTCAGCAGGGATATAGGGGTGTCTCACACCTCCATTTAATACTGTATGCAAGTTTTTTTCAAAGATCATTTTTTGTTCAAGCGGTGTGTGTGTGTGTGTGTGTCTTGCAGACTGGATACTGTGCCCTGATTCCCCAAGAAGACCATTATTATCTGTGACTGCAGAGATCTTAACACAGCATTGAGCATAAAATGAGCTTTAACAATATGTTGTGACTACTTACATTAAAGAAATCCAGTCCACCTTGGTTTAGGAGAGAGACCACTGATTGACCAATAAGAATCGGTTGTTGCAGATCCCCATAGTGCAATTTTTTTTTCTTTTCCATTGTCAGTGCAGCTTTTATTTTGGTGAGTTTTGCACACAGATGCAGAAATGTGGACTTGCGCATCCAAAAGTTCTGCAGCCACTGGTTATGAGCCCAAGCCTTCATTGTTTCAGAAGATTTTTTGCCCTTGGGAAGGATATAAGATGACACCATATAATACACTACACTGAATATTTGTGAATCAGCTTCTACACACAAGTCCAGCACACAGGCCTTGCTGTCTTTTCACTGCAGTCCTTGATCTTGGTGACAAATCTGTAGAGAATTACTGGAACCATAAACTCCCTGAACATTAAATCTCACCAAATGAGGGTCAATCCATCCTCATCATTATATCTACTCATTATACTCCACACCCGTACATAGCCACTATATGAACTTCATACCCTCATATCTCAATGCCTGTACTTTGACCCATCACCCTTTTACCGCCAATCGGGGATATTGCAGATTATGTATTCCTTAGGCCACCTGATTTTAAACCAAACTTTGCACCATCGATAATCTGTACAGTATTCCCTGATAACCAGAAACTTCTATGCTCAAACTCTGTTCCCTTTTTTTTTTTTAACATCTTAATAAAAATTTTAAATCTGTTGAAACTGGTCTAGGTCTAGGCGAGAGAATGTCTCAGGGCTGCCCGGGGGGGGGCAAGTGGTGCAATTTGCCCCAGGCCCCGGGGGCCCCGCAGGGGCCGCCATGAATATGTCGGAGGCTCCCCCTGCATCCG